GGGGCTGCAATTTACCCGGCTCTCAGTGACGATACATTACCACCTAACCTCAGGGAATATTTCCGGCCAACACGCATCCAGTACCACCTTGAAGTTGTGCACATTGGTGCAGTTGACCACACCCCGGGTAACCTGTTCCACATAGGTATGACCCTATGTGCAAAGTTGGCTCGGACCTCTAACCAAGCATCGTTCTGTTGGAGCTTGAAGCTATAATCCCTCGAGTTTTGAGCACGAGAAGCCGTAAACAAGTCATCTACATGGAGTCCTGATAGCCCTCTGATTATTTTAAAGGTCTCTTTCAGACTCGTCACAGTCGTCCACCCTCCAACGAAAAGAGATTTAGGTCTTTCAATCGCTGTTCATAGCTTTTTCCTTTTGTTCAGCTACCATTCGGGTAACAAGTCGTTGCACCTTCCCCAGGCATTCCATATCCTTTCTATAGTATAATGCCCATGACTGAAAACAGTATTCTAAGTGGAGGCGAACTACTGCCTTGTAGATAGGTATAAAGACCTCTGCGTTTCTACATATAAGGGCAGCACACAGCCTGAAGGGCTCACCACGAGCCTTATTGGCCTCGTTCAGACATTGTATTTCGGGCTTAAAACTCTTCGTGAGAATAACTCCTAAGTCCTTAACTGTCTTTGTATGCTGCAGTGCCAGCTGCCCATCCCTAACGGCTTCTGCTCTTGCTGTTAAGAGTTGGAACTTTTTGAGACTTAATGGTAAGTCCCACTGAAGCAACCATTATCTAACCGCTTCTACATCGCACACTATATTTGTTCCAGCTAATTTCACATCGTCCGCGAGTATGAAACAGGGACTCTGGAGATGCCGTACAAGCCTTTGATATAAATTAAAAACAGCAGGGGTCCTAGAACTGCTCCTCGAGGCATCTCACTTGTTACTATTGCAGGTTGGCTCAGATAGTCATCAAATTTCACACAGCACATCCGATGACTGAGGAACTACACGACCCAAATTTTCAGTGCCACATTTAAACCTGCATCTTGTTATACGGTGAATGCGATCCTCGTTCAACCTGTCGGTTCCGCAATGCCACTTGCCATGCGTGCGGTGAGATGGGCCATATCCGTAAGGTGTGCTGAATGTCCAACTGCAACCTAATTGATTCTGATATCCCAACGATAGATGGGAATTCAAGCCCGATCTACAGGCTTTAAGTCACTGAACCCAACGATCAGTTAGTGTTTGTTCCACTGAGGTTCGAGTCTAATGTAGAACATCGATTCATCCTGGACGAAGGAAGCAGCGAATCCACCCTACCGAAATCAGCAGACAATGCTATTTGTCCCAATGCTGTACTAGCCCCGAATTCAATGCGCATTCATGGGGTTACCGGTCATCAATTACTCGGTGAAACAGTGTTGTGCGTTCAATCTGAGTCCTATGTGTCAATCTCGATTCCGTTCCTGGTATCAGCGCACAGTCCATCCATTCTGGGCCTGCGAGGAATACGGCTACTACAAGGATCAATCGCATTACAATGCGAACAACGATAAGCCAGTCACCTCACATCTTCAACATTTGATTGTACAATGTTCCGGTAACGTTGGTGGCATAAAGGTACCGTCGGTGAAGGTGGAAGTTGATGGTGAACCTGGTTTTTCTAAAACGACGCGTCCTAGCACACAGTCAACGGGAAGGTGTCCTGAATGCGTTACAGAAAATGGAACAGGATGGTATGATAAACAAAGTTTGATCCAGTGCCTGGGCGACCCCGATTGTCGTGACGATTAAAAGTGATGTAAGGACGCAACTGATCTGTGGAGACTATCGATTGATCTTGAATCCCCGATTGTGGAGATGTGCAGCTACCACCGTGGAACCAGAAGATTTCACGAAGTCATTGCAATTGCATGGTTGCCAGTTGTTTTCCAATATTGATTTGGCGGGCGCATAACTACAGATTCCACTCGATGTTGAATCTTGCTGATTGACAACCATCAGCACGCCGTGGGGAGTGTACCAGTACATTTTCTCTGGTTCGCATTGCATGTGTCGTGTGGCCTCTTTCAACCAGGAATAGACAGTGCAATAAAAGGACTCAACCGTGAGCTTGCATATCAAGATGACGTCCTCACTTTCGGCTTTAATAAAAAAGAACACAATGCCCATCTTACGCAGCTACTGAAACGATTCGTCGCCAGGAACATGGCTATCAAGCCAACCAAACGTATCTTTGTTGTGAGTGAGTTGGAACTTCTAGGATTCACAGTGGATGCCCGTGGACACAGTCCCGATCCAACACGTTTCAAAACATCGACGAACATCGAATCCTCAAAGGATCAAACGCATCTGAGATCCGTGATGGGAAACCTACAATACTATTCCCTATTTATCCCGAACTTTGCCACGAGGGCGCAGCCGCCTTTCCGTGCTCAGTGTTTAGACGCTTGGGAATGGTCGTTGGAGTGTGAAGATATCTAACGTGGTTTAATGCGCTGCGTTAATGACTGTCCTGCTTGGGCCCCATTTTCACCATCAAAACCTACCGTACCGATCACCGATGCGTCCGACGTCGGAATCGGTTCTGTGTTAGAACTAGAGGGGTGCCCAGTGATATGAATTTCACGTCCACCTAATTCAGCTGAAAAGGGATACTAGCGGACAGAAAAAGAAGCGTTGGCTATATTTCGAACTGTTTGACAATTACACAAGTATCTTCTCGGATGGCGATTTAGCGTTGTCACTGATCACCGAACTCTACAGTTCTTGTTCAGACTCAACAAATCCATCGCGAAGTCCACTGCTGCTATGCTACAGAGGTGGACCATCGATCTAGCCGCATACAACTACGATATCCAACATCGTCCAGGAACGACAATCCCACAGGCTGATTTCCTCTCTCGCTACTCACGATTTTCTGAGGTCGAACAGTGTCATTTCATTACCCCAGCATCGCCAGTGTCTCGGGAATCTTTACGCAAATCTACCAAGCAGTACTACTCGGTGATCAAGAAAGGGTGGTCACTCGAGGTAAAGAGAAAGTATCCTCAATTCTTTCCTCACCGAGAGGAGTTGTCAGCGCAATTAGATGGTGCATTGTGTCGCGACGATTGTTTAGTAATCCCACCGCTACTACGGAGAACGGTACCAGATGAATTGCATAAAGGGCCTATGAAAGTGGAGAAGATGAAATCATTGCCTCGACAGATGTGTTGGTGGCGACTTTGGACGCAGACATTTACGCAACAGCCAAGAACTGTGAGTCATGTTTACATAAACTACGAATAAGGCCGAAAAACTGAACACCATGACCGGAAAGTTACATACCATGGCAGTGTTCATTTGGATTTCTGTGATCTATTTCTGCACCACTATTACGCCCTTGTTCTAATCGATTCATACTCCAAATGGTCAGAGGTATTCTTCACGACTATGCCCACCACATCATTTGTGAACAAGTACTACGTACTCTGTTTTAGTCGCGAAGGGATTTCACACGTGCTTGCGACAGAGAACAGATCTCAGTTTTGTGCGACTGAAATGAAGCTTCCGATGGACAGTATTGATTGCCGACATCTTCGAAATGCGCCACGTCAACCCTGTTCGAAGAGAGCGACAGAGAACTTAGTTAAAACGGTCAAGAGCGCGATTGCGTCTGCCAATCTTAAAACACTACCTGAATTGGAAACGTTGGTGGATAACTTCCTACTCCAATTCCGAAACGCAACACATACAACCACCAAGGAGAGCCCGGTAATGCTTTTTAAACCCAGAGGATTGCGATCCTCGACTCTAGTGACGTCGTATACTTCCGTGGTAATGAGTTGCGACCCGCGTCTGGTATAGTCACACGACAACTGGGTCAAGCCATGGTGGAAATTACCGACTTGAATGATGCTACTGTGCACAAGCGACAC